TGCTTTTGTTGCTATGGTTATCTCTAGGTTTTTGAAAACTTGAGTTGCATCTCTGCCTAGGACCTTTAATTTAATTGTTTCTCATTATACTAGTGAGATCTATAGAGCAATGCTCTTTATTTTTGGTTGGTGATTTTAGACAGATACATCCAAATAAAAATCTAGGAAATAAGTTAACTCTTGTGCAGAATATATTCCAACATGCATGTGATACAGGGAAAGACAAATAAGTTTTTTACACTGAGGGGACTTATCTTGGTCCTGTCCTTTTTATAATTGTTATTGTATTTGTATGGACTCTTTCCTGCTTTTTAGTTTTCATTTTGTAAGCAATATGATGGAATAATATCTATAGGTCATGGCCAATTTTCACATACTATCACTAAACTGGTTAAACTCATGCTCAGACCATATATTTTGAATCTTCTTCATCATCATCTCATTTTTCTTTTTCAGGTTTTTTGTTAATAGGATGGGACCCTGGTTATAATAATCATTTCAAATTTGCACTTGTTAGTTGTTATTAAAGATCATATTTGCTTATGATTAGTAATCCATTCCACGTGGTAAAACATCAGTTTAAATTTTTGCATGAGCTACTTATGATTTTGTATCCTGCAGTTTCTTCCTACTTGAAATTTTGTTCGGTATTTCAGTACTTGAATTGATGATTCTCTTTTTTGAATTTTGTTTGATCATTTACTCTTGATGCATGCTGCCAATTTGTAAATGTGACCGAGTTTTGGTTTTGCTTAAATTTAGTTTTTCATCATGTATAACAGGATCTTTTGTTTGGTGACAACCTTGTTTAATTTTATGGATTTCCTTCTTTTACAGAATTCTTTATGAACTTTTTACATATATGGCAGTTGCTTAAGATTAATGTCTGATTGCATGCCTAATCTGTCATGTGCACCAAATGTGGTAGGATCATTATCTTATCCTAGTTGCTTAGATTTTTATGCAATTTAAAGATCTGGATACATTTTTAGTCAATATATATATATATATGTATGTATATATATATATTAACCAATCATTTTATGAGATTGAAGTATTTCACTGCAGTATAAATCATATCAATGGATGATATTGCTGGTTTACAGGCATGTTCTTTTCCCTAAAAGAGTAGTTGTCTAAGGAAAGATGGGGAATCCAATTCTTATGCAAATTGAAATGATTTATTGAGTTGAGTTCTGCTGGTTTACAGGCATGTTCTTTTCCCTAAAAGAGTAGATGTCTAAGGAAAGATGGGGAATCCAATTCTTATGCAAATTGAAATGATTTGATTGAGTTGAGTTCATACCTTTGATGATGTAGCAAATAAAAACTGAATGGATTGTTGTAATGCTCTTCTGGTGCTTAGTCGGCTGGATCATGGAGCATGAATATGGGAAGACAACAGCTCCTACATGATCATGGTCCTTTTAGGACCTGCTCTTTTTTTGGATAATCTGCAACTTTCTCTCTTTCCAAATGCTTTTGTGAAATGCTTCAATAGGTAGTTTAAAATTTTAGCCTTTCCTTGTTTTTGTCGTGCATGATAACAAAGTATGTGAAGGATTGATAATCTTGCCAGCATTTCAGGTTTTCTAATTCCAAGTTAGTCTTCACTGTTTAATTTACTGATGATTGACCTTAATCAAATTCCAAATCTGTGGATAACTAGTGGTTAGGTGATTAACGGACTTGTTTTTGATATTGGCACAGAGGTGTTCCTTGTTAATATACTGCGGGAAGGAAAGATATTGCTAGGATTATCTTCCCTGATGATATTCCTAAGGTGCTTAAAGTTGACGGGAGACAAGGAAGCAATGCTTTGGAAGTAAAGAAAAAGGGATTCTGTTTTGCAAACTTCTGAAGTTGCAATCGTACAGTAATTTGTATGGACAAACAGATTAGCATTGGAGCAATTGGAGGCTATAAATGTTGATAAACTGACAATATGGACTGAAGATCGTTGGTGGAGCAGGCTGTGTTACTAATGCTAGCAGATGATTAAAGATTTAAAAGGCTTGGCCTAGTGGAACACATGATGCTGTTATTACAGGAAATGACTTGAACCCTTTCAAGCCCTAATTAGACCACACCCCACCTCAGCCCCCACCCCCAAAAAAACCTGGAGGCACTCGATGCTCAAGGTGTCAAGAATCATGCATTTACGTTCGAGTTGTACTTTGTTTCCAAACCATGTTTTGCAGAATGAACTTGATTGCAAAATTTTACTTGTTTTTTTTGCTTGGCTAGGATTCTGTGTCAAGCAACAAGCCATGGCACTGTAGCTGGGATGCTGTATTTATCTTCCTGAAAGCCAGAAAACTTTACGTGTAAGCAAATTATTTGTCTTGTCAAGGATTAGAAAGATCACTACAATATAGAGCTCTTGAAGAGCTTGGTAAAGATGAGTTCTTCACAGACTGAGAAACCATGGCACGAATGTCTTGCGCAGAGCATAGTCTCTACTCACAGGTAAAATGCATAATTTTGTTCAGGGGCCTTTATGTGTCTTCTTTCACCATATTTTTGATGGTTCAATAGTCCCTTTGTCAGAAAGTCTTCAAAGTTTACGTTGTAATTTAACATAGGTTTTGATCTCAAATGTATATTTCTTTTTATTTTTTAAGATAAAATATGTACGCAGTATATTTATTTGAGAACTTTCTGTGGGTTTTACGTTCTTTTGGTATCTTTGGATGTGACTTCAAAACAATAATAGCTAAAATAACACTCATAAATGAACGATTCTGAGCACTAAAATCTTAAAAGAAACAATATACACTCTTTTACTCGTTTCTCTTTTTGAAAAATTTGTTTCACTGGGAGAGCATACTCTTGTAGAATTCTTTTTGTCTTGAAAATGGTATAGATACATTCAAACTTAAGACTTGACTCTGAGTAGATGGAATAGCATCGACTAGATAAATGATGAAATGTGCAATGGTCAAGTGATTGTCATGAAAACAGAATGCATTCTTATATAACGCCCATAAGCAATTGCCTTGAACAAACATCAAGGATTTCCAATAACTATGACTATAACAGAATTTGGGAGAAAAAGAGATTAGTGCATGACAAAAACTGAAAAAACTAATTATTGGAAGTTGGCAACATGAATGGAAACCTAACAAAAAATTAAAAGAAATGAGATCTTAAAAGAAAATATCACTAAATTGAGTTACATAAAATGAAATATATCTTTGAAGATATTTGAATTTAGAGTTTGTGGTAATATAAAAAAACTATTTGAGAAAGCGTAAAATTAAAATATTGTAGAAATAATTGACAACACTATTCTGGTTTAAGAGGGATAAACTTGTCTTGCTTGATTTCAAGTTTTAAATTAATAGCGCAAAATATCCTCTAGCAATATGTTGGAAATCCTAAGAAATATATATGTTGAAAATTTGCAACAAAAGAACAAAATTGCCATTGTGAGAACAACCACTTAAATTTGACGAATAAATCTTGAGAAAAATCGGTGACTTCCACCTAAATTTGACTAAGTTGATGGGATCCTCATGTGACAAACAAATGGAACATGTAATGCCTTTTTACTAATTTGTAAAACTGTTGGTAAATAGATACTATTGAATTTAAATGAATTAAATTTGATTTCCTTTAATGTCTTATTTAGTGTATATTGAATATTGAATAGATCTAAATCTCCTTCATTAAAATAAATGTAATAATTTTAAATTGATTCGTAGACAATTCTTTAGGTGTTCCTTTCTAAATCTAAAATTTCATATGCAATACATTTTCTATAAAATAAAATAAACATGAACTTAATAACTTTTCGGTACAAATAAATATCTAGTGAAAATCATTCACATTTTTTGTACGAATTTTCCAGATAGTATGAATGACAAATTATGCAATGAACTTAATAAATGTTTAATTTTTTGTTTTTTTAACTTTCAAATTCTCAAAGTAACCCTTTTTTTTTTATAGAAAAATTGTACATAGCCTTGGGCCGGGTGCACCTGGAATCTCAAATTGGACCTTGTGGTTAGGCCCAAATCAGGCCTGAGCGCTAGGGGTTTTCCATTTCTTCTTCAGCTCCATCTCTGCAACCTTCGTCCTCGTGGCCTCCTCCATCCCTCCCCAAATTCTGTAGAACATTCAAGGGAAAGAAAAGTTTTGAAATTCACTCAATTCTTTACTTAGAGCTTTTCAAGTTAAGTAGAGGAAGAATGGCTGCTGCTTTGGTTTCTAAATGCTCCCGGGGTATGTTCCTTTTCCTCTGCTAAGTCAGTATCCTCTTGCCCAAACCCATGTAAAGTTCTAGTCTTTAGTATCTTTCCTTTGATTTTTTTCCAAAACTTCACCTGCCCATTTCCTTTCAAAGAAAAATACGAGTTGGGAAAGACTAGGAACGCGAATTTCCTTAATTTCTGCATATGGGTTGCTTTCTTGAAAAACAGATTTTTCTTTTTAGGTATTTAGATTCAAGCATGATTTTGGAGTCATTTAATCTGCTGACTGACTGTGTTTTATTTGACGTTTTGAAAACAAAACTAGTGGGTCGCTCGTTGTTGGGAGGGCTTGGCAACAATACTTCTGGTTTATTGAGCACATCGAATGAGATTATGAGCAACAATTTCTTGTCTCAGGTCAGCCTGTGCCTATGTGATGTTTCTTTAAGGTTTATGGAATAATTCTGAGGAGTTTTAATATGGTTTGTCTGCAAGTTTATGTGCCTTACATTCATAAAATGTTCAATGTACTGAGTGAGAGGTTGCAAAGAATATACAGGTAATATCTTAGTCTTTGCAATCTTAGCAAAGTTCGTATGGGAATAACCGAATAAGTATCTAAGTTTCTGTGGAATGTTTCTCTACAGGAAAGAAATGGTTAATCCTAAGTTGTTAAGAAGTGGCATTTTGGAATAAATTGTCCCATTCTGATTAAGACCAGGAAGTAAGAACTACTTTGTTGTTGATCATCCTATTTTCATATTTTCTTAAAATTTTGGACCTGCATGTAGAGCATATAAGAACAATGTCTGAGCTTGGTTTTGGTTTTCTATATGAACATGAATTCAGTGAGAGTTTAATCTGAACTTATACTGATCACAGGTGGTTGTAATGATATGTTCTGTTTTTCAAGTTAAGTCTAGTTGCCTGTAAAAATTTTGAGGTAAGACAAGTAAAATGTTCAAGGTTGATTCACTTTAGATATGCTTACAAATTAAGGAGACAGAAGCTCAATATGCTATGCCATGAAAGTGAAAGATGTTGTGGTTATTCCACTGAAATAATAGAAAACACTTGGTTTGTACTTTTATTTATTGAACATGTTCCCACTACCTAGAGGTATGGGTGCAGACTAGCTTAACCGTAGGTATAAATCATAAGGGTTTGTCAACAACCTCAGTTTATTTGTTTCCATTGTCTTGGTTGGGGAGGGAAATTTTCTCTGTTGCCATTGTTTGAATTATTTTAAATGATTTGTCAAAAATGGTATTTCTAAGTCAAGCTACCATATTTTATCCATCATTACTTCTCTGAAACAGGGGCTTAATTTTTCCATGCAATTTTGCAGCAGCAAAGGACTTTCATACAGATGAGGACTGTCCTCAAAGTTGTGGATAATTCAGGGGCTAAAAAGGTCATGTGCATTCAATCTCTTAAAGGGAAAAAAGGAGCAAGGTTGGGGGACACTATTGTTGCATCTGTAAAGGAAGCTATGCCCAATGGAAAAGTGAAGAAAGGAAAGGTTGTGTATGGTGTGGTTGTGCGGGCTGCCATGCAGCGGGGCCGGGTTGATGGGAGTGAGGTCAAGTTTGATGACAATGCAGTTGTACTTGTTGATAAGCAAGGCCAACCAATTGGAACTAGAGTTTTTGGGCCGGTGCCCCATGAGCTGAGAAAGAAACATGTCAAGATTCTTACTCTGGCGCAGCATATTGCCTGAAGCTGAAGACTGAGGTATGGCACCTGTAAAGTGTAAACAATACTCAAATGTGGTCTTTCTTCACTCAGATTCTTATAGCTATAATTGTCTTTCTAATTCTTATAGTTATAATTGTGTCTTTCATTTTATGAAGATTTGTCCAAACAAATGCATGCATGTCTTTGTCCACATGTCTTGGATTTGATCATAGATTGCCAAATTAGTACTTCACTGGGTATTTTGAATGTCTTCGGCTTTACTTATCACTTGTCATTGCATAATGAGCCACAGGAGCCACAGTTCTGCAGCTCTGAATCTTAAATGTAGTTTTGTTCCTTAAATTAGTTTTGCATTTCTCAACTTTAAACCTGTTGATGGTCCATCATTTTGTTGATTACATTTATGCAAGCATCAAGTGTTTTTTGTTTGATTAAATTTCTCTTCTTGATTTAATGATTGGATATCTCAATCCAAATGGATATAATTTTAATTTACAGGAATATGGAAAATAAAACTAGGAAAAGTGTGCATCAGTAATTTAGAAGTTAACTAGAATTACTGTTCATTAACTTTTAAATAGACATAAAACAAAGAAAGAGAAGTACCACAACAGCTTAGCCGTGTTGGCACCGACAAAAAGTCCTTGATTTTGGTATCACTGTTGGGGTTTTGAAATTCTTTCATTGCTAAAGGTACAAAATTCCTTTGTCGATTAAGAAGAAAAAAGCACTCAATTAGTGATAAACTGGAGAGTAAGAACCTACTTGAGGTGGAATTTATAGTCCTAACCCCCAATTACATATCATTGCAGGTTTAATGGAGGAAGAATTGGAATATCAGATGATGACAAACCTTGAACATCTTTTGGAAGGAGAGTTAGGATGCTGATTTGTTAGCAAGGGAAAGTCGCTTAGAGCCCTACATTTTTAAAATTTTGCGACTTGATGGTAATAGTTCAGTGTTTTAATCTTAATTCTGACTGGTACTTCTTCTCACAAATATTTTCTCTTCATCATATTTTAAGTTCCAATCCAAATTGAACTGCAAGTTCAATGTGTAATTCATGCATATTAAGAACTGTACAACAAAATTTATGTTTCTTGAAGAAAATAATTTGTACACTTTGGATAAGAAGCATTTAGTTTTATCTAATCTCTCAGTTGATAATTGTTTTTATTTATAATTCAAACACTCTAATTTGTCAGATTACAGAAAACTGTTAACGGCTGCTGTCAATACCCTTAATCATTTTGCTTAAGGATAGAAAAATGAAATTTCAGTCATCAGCAGCGAGGCTCACAGAAAGCCAGCTTCTAAGATTCTAATTATCATCACCAATTGCCATATTTCATTGGTAATACAATTATTTTAAAGGAAAAACAGGAAAGCATGCAAGACGTTTCCCTGGCTGTTTATCATTCTGTTATAGATGTATGTGCTATACACCGCCATGTAACTGCCTACTTATTTATAGGATAAAGCTTTATTTATTTGTGTAGATATTGTATGGCTTGTTACAGATGAATAGAATGTTAGTACTTTTGTTAATAATAATAATAATAAAGAAACAGTTACATAGAAAAATGAAAATAAGAGTTGGGGTGAAAAATGGCCATCGCTTTCTTTTCTTTTCTTTTGCGTCTTTATGTGCTGCTTCCTTGGCTGTTTTCTTCTGTTTTTCTCCAATGATTTCATCTTTCTCTGGTCTTTCTCCACTTTCCTTACTCTAAATCTGCTCCTCTTTTGTCCACTACGTGTTTTGATTTTCAAACTTTAGTTGCGTTATTTCCTCTTTGATCTCACTTCTTCCTTTGTAGATTCAGCCTCTCGTTTCCATCCTTTTTCCTTTTCTTCTATCCTCTGTTTCCTTCTTCCAATAGAGCTAACCCCATATCCTTAAATTTCTAGTGTTAAGTAATGGCCAAGGAGAAGAAACGGATGAAATTTTGGGCCGATTGCTAGAATGGATCCTATAGCCATGGCATCGCAGAGATTGTATTAACTTGTCACGAGAGTAGATTGGAAGGTATTCAATTGAACTAAAACGACCAACTACGTGAATAGCATTAGTTCTTTCAAAGGTTGTTGTGTGATATATAGTTTTTACTCTTTATATTTTTTATTTTCGGTTGTGCTGTATTATGTAGAGTTATAAGACCTTATTTATAGAATAGGACTTTTCTTATCTTTGTAAACGTCGTTCCGCTTTCTGAAGGTAAATAAAATAACTTTAGTTAAAAAAAAAAAATTAATAAATATCAACATTATTTACTGTTGTTAAAAAAGGCAAAAAGGGCAAATCAGCCCTTATACTTATTAAATTGTGGCAAGTCAGCCCCTCAAGTAAAAATAGACGCAAATCAACCTCTCTCTCCACTCATCGACTGGCAGCATATGAGCCCTTATTTCATGGCTGACGTCAGCAAAGTGTTACATTTGACGGGGAGAGATAGTTTTTGTTAAAATATTCATCACCAACTTGAGATCTAAAAGGTGATGAAGTAAAAGTCTTCTAGAAGCATATATTTTACTGCAAAGTAAATTGAAGCCACACAAAAATATATGATGGAAAGAAAGCCACGTTAGTTGTGTGTCTAGATTTTTTGTATGTATGGTAAATTAAAATATTGTAAATAAAAAAATACTCTAGAATATGCACAATTGGTGTACATCACTGACTTTTGTAGGTATGAAAAGCAGAATTGAAGAAGAAGACAATGTGTGTGCATGAGTTCAATAGAAAAAGGTTTTCTGCTATTTTCTCTTTTGGTCAACAAATCTGGTATCAGAGCAATTTGCTGTAGCAATCTCTACACATGATCAGGGATCGTGATTCTTCACTTGGTGAAGGCTTTTCCCAACTTTGTTGTTGCAACGGTCAAGGACCGCTCAATCAAAGATCATCACAAAGCAAGGAGGTCAGGGTCTCTTTCTTTGGAGAAATTTTGCTCGTGCACAGTCCGGGATTGTGAAGCTTGTGTTTTGTTGGTTTGGGACCATGTCAGAATCAGTAAGGACCACACTAAGTCATAATGGGTGATCAAAGCTGGCTAAACACCATCAAGAAGTTGAATGATAAAAATTACAACACGTGGCAAACATGCATTGAATCTTACCTAGAAAGCCAAGACTTGCTGGAGATTGTGAAAGGTGATGAGGTTGTGCTGCCACTGTAGATCAATGCTGCTGCGTACAAGAAATGGAAAGTTCGAGCTGCCAAGGCCCATAAAAACTTCTATTGAGGAAGAAATGTTGGAGCACATTAGGTACGCTACCTCACCAAAAGATGCTTGGGATATTTTAGTCGTTCACTTTAGAAGGAAGAATTATACTCGGCTTCAATTGTTGGAAAATGAGTTGCTTTCCTCGAAGCAAGAAAATATGCCAATCAGGAATTATTTTACAAAAATCAAATTATTATGTTGAGAAATTTCAGAATTGGATGAAGAATCTAACATTTCATATGAAAGAATGAGGAGAATTATTTATGGAATAAGGCCAGAGTTTAAGGCCTTTATCACAGCTGTGCAAGGTTGGCAAACTCAACTGTGGATGAATTAGAAAATCTATTAGCAAATCAAGAAGCACAGGGAAAGCAAGCAATTGAAGGAGCATAGAAAATAGAGGAAGAAGCACTCTTTAGTGGATGAGGCCGAGGAAGAGGCAAGTATAGTACTAGAGGAGGCCTCTATAGCACCAGAGGAGGAGTTAGAGGCAAAAGTAGATTCTAGAGCATCAAATTAGATTAGCCGAAGGATGAGAGATCTTGGAGGCAGCAAGATAGGAGCTACCATTTAGGGGGAGCTCAAGAAGGCCAAGAGGTAGAAAGTAGCAGCTTCAACAGTTACAAGAGACGCAATGATCAATGATTTAATTGTGGAAAGAGAGGTCACTTTACAAGAGATTGTAGATA